GCTGTCAAAGCAGGACTAACAAACATTTGAAAAAGAAAGTCTACCTGCAAAGAAGGCAAGAGAGCAAACAGAACATAAGAACAACCATGTTAACGAGAAAAAGGAAAAGAAAATGTGCAAATCATTGAGGTTTCCAAGTTTACATTGGCCAGGTCACCGTGCAAAAACTTCAGCTGGGTCACACAATCATCCTGCCCCTAGGTGTTTTAGCCTAGGTGTTTTTTTGTTTGTTTGTTTTGTTTTTGCCTCTGTGACCAAAAAGAATAATTTTATAAAAGAAAAAGTTTATTTGGGACTCATGGTTTCAGAGGTCTCAGTTCATAGACAGCCAACCCCGTCTCACTGAGCCTAGAGGTGAGGCAGATCATCAAAGCAGAGGAGTGTAGAGAAGGAAAGAAGTTCTGGACATGGCACCAGGAAGCAGAAATATAGCTCAGCTTACCAAGGACAAAATATAACACCCCTCCTGAAAAACCAGCCTCTACCTCAGAGCTGCCCAAGGAAGGGACGTGACCTTTGTCCTTGGAAAGACCCACAGAGCACTCCTAAGCACATTCCCACCCTGCTAAGTTGTTTATCTACAAATAACAGGAGAGATCTGCTGCCCCAGGTGTCCCTGACTCAGTCAGGCTAGGTGGGGATCCATAGCAACCCCCTAGCAAACACCAATCAGCATGAGACAGGGAAATACCTGGGATGCCAGATGACCCCCAGTAGTTTATGGTGGTGGATAACGTGTTGGGAAACCATGTAGTTCAGCAGTACTCCCCTCGTGGCCTAAATCAATCAGTTCAAAGGAATCCCCCTCTTGTACTAACCAATCACCCCTACCCAACTAGTTCCCCCCAGTGAATGTGCTAATCATGTTTTAGAGTTGTTTTATGATTTTTCCTGCAGTGTGTGATGATTTGCTAAGAGATGCTATGATGTATGTGAAGTCCCTGCCTTCCCCAAAGAATGTATAAAACTGCTGCAAACCCTGGCCTCTCAGCGTCACCAGTTGCTGTGTGTGTGCGGAGGACCCAGCTAGCTCGCCATAAACGCCTCTTTGCTGCTTACATCGATCTTGGTCTCTGGTGGTCTTTTGGGGGTCCCGAATTCGAGCATAACACCCCCAAAATAAAAAATTTTAAAAAAAATGCCCCTGTTGACTTATCCCCTCCAGCCACACCCCACCTGCCTACAATTACCACCCAGTTGATCCATATCAGAGGATTAATCCTCTGATTCAGTTAAGACACTCAGGTACCTTTCATTTCACCTCTAAACTTCCTTGCATTCTCTCACACGAGCTTTTGGGTGACACTTCACATCTAAACTTCAAGTCATGACAAACCTTCCAACAGCAGCCTCGCAAAACTCAGGAAGATCATTGTTTTTTGTCAGTGTTTAGGTTTATAGGAAATATTTAGGTATTTGTTATTTTGAGGGCCAGAACTAGAAAGCATGATCCTATTATTTTCATTTATTTTAGGATACAGACAATTTTGTTTGTTTTTGTTTTGGACAGTTTGATCATACCACAGTATGTCCCCTCTCTCCCTCCACTCCCCTGCCCTCCCCATTCGCCTCCCCTCGCCCACGCTTAAACTTCAATCCTTCAGTTAAGACCATCAGTGGAAACCTTCCTCTAACGTGTAGACTGCGGCACAGAGAGATGGTGTCAGTCCCCTTAGAACAGCGCCTTGGGCATGGGTTCGTCTTCTACCACACGAGGGCAATAAGTCTTCTCCCGCCGGCTCCAGAGGTTCATCCCTCAAAGACAGGGAACAGTCTTCCCGGAAAGCAAAGAATGAAGGGAGGTGACAATTGTGAGGCCTACAAATTCAGGAACACCAGGAAGGCAGCTCTTCTGAGGACTGTCCCCAGTCCCAGTGCGTCCAGCCTGAATGACGGCGCAGAACTGAGGGACGAAACCCTGTTTTAGAAAAGTAAACCATAAATCCGTGCATTTTTCAAGATCCGCTGGCCTATTAGTATGACTTTGGGGCTCTTTGTTGCCTGTGACAAGACAGAGAACGCAACCCATAGCTTCAAGGAAAAGGAAGACAGAGCAACAGAAAAGCCTTAAATGGTGGGTTTGGAGTCCCTGGTGAGATCCTGGGAGGGTAGAACATGGATTTACAATACAAGTGTTCTATGGCAGAGAGGATAACAGGTGGCAGAGGTATTAATACTATGAAATGCCAGAAAGGAGAATTTAAGCACCATTGGGATACTGGGGAGGGAGAGATTGAGGAATTTTACATCAAGCATTGAAAGTCTCCAGAATACTCCTAGCGAGCCATGGCGTCTGTCTCTCTGCCTACCTCTGTGGCTTTGCTGGATATCTGTTCTTTAGGCACTAGGTTCTCCAACCTCTTTTGCTGATAATCAAATCATGGACTCTCAAATCCCAGCCTGATAGCTACCTCTCTGAACCAGCAAATGCTTATCTCCTGATTAAAGATTTTAAGAAAGTGGCTTCTCCACGTTGCTGGGTTCCTTGCTCAACATTTTAACCTGAAGGAGCTTCCCTGGCCTGTTGCGCTTGGATGCAAATCATTTCAGCTCGCCTATGTGCAGCACTGCAGAGCTTATGCGAAACGGGCGCCAATAACAATTCTTAATTGTACCTTCCAAATAACTCCTTAAAAAAAAATTATTCTTAAGTTTTAGGTGGACACAAAATCTTTATTCTACATTTACGTGGTCCTGAGGATCAAACCCAGTGCCTCGTGCTTGCTAGGCGAGCACTCTACCTCTGAGCCACAATCCCAGACCCCCGAAATAACTTCTTTGAAAAGCACGACCCCGTGACAACTTGCAACCCCTGGCGGGGTTTTTCAAGTACTGCTACTTCCGGGAGTTCAGTGAATTAATTACGTTGCCAAAAGCGAATTTTGGCTATTGTAGCAGAAAAGAAAACTACAATGCATTTCCGAACGCGATTGGGAACACAAACGAACCTGACACTGCCTTAAAGTGCCTAACGTTGGCAGCGCTTTTTGCGTTCTACCGGCCCTGTGGATTCTTTCCAGCTTCACTGAAGGAAACTAAACAATAAATATGTATCCGCTACTTTCCGTGGAAGCGTGGTTGGCTCTGAAGAGAACCTTTGTTGTATGGGCAGCCATTGGCGAGCCCACGTGGCGGTGGTGTACTTGGGCAGCGGCAGGCGCACCGTGGTCTGGATCTCCCAGAACTCGTGCGCGATTCTTTCCATCCTACTTCGGCGCCTTGGTCCGCACCTTCTTGAAGCCCTCGTGGGGACCGAGGCGGACTCCACTGGCTCGGGTATAGGAAACCTTAAGTACCCAAACAATCACTACGAGACGGGTCCAGTCCTCTTTCTTTAGAACTCAACTTGCAGCAGAGTCTAACTTGTGATTGGAGGACATATGGAGCTCTCGGTTCAGTATTGTCCAATCAAAATGCGTGTTTTAGAAATTGCATTTACAATATTTAAAATGAACTTACAACTTCAGCCAATGGCTCAGCTTCTTTTTCGCGCCCAAAGCGGCTATAAAGTGTGTGGGGTTTTTTTGTTCTTTCACACACGTTTTTGGTGTAGTTTGAGCACGCCCATCATGTCCGGACGCGGCAAGCAGGGTGGCAAGGCTCGCGCCAAGGCCAAGACGCGCTCCTCCCGCGCCGGCCTGCAGTTCCCGGTAGGGCGAGTCCACCGCCTTCTGCGCAAGGGCAACTATGCCGAGCGGGTCGGGGCCGGCGCGCCCGTCTACCTGGCGGCGGTGCTGGAGTACCTGACAGCCGAGATCCTGGAGCTGGCTGGCAACGCGGCCCGCGACAACAAGAAGACGCGCATCATCCCGCGCCACCTGCAGCTGGCCATCCGCAACGACGAGGAGCTCAACAAGCTGCTGGGAAAAGTCACCATCGCGCAGGGCGGTGTCCTGCCCAACATCCAGGCGGTGCTGCTGCCTAAGAAGACCGAGAGCCACCACAAGGCCAAGGGAAAGTGAAGTCAGCTTCCCACTAACTTTCCTAAAACCAAAGGCTCTTTTCAGAGCCACCCACCCTTTCTGAGGAAGAACTCAGCACTTTATTCTCTGAATGTGTCAGGTGCCCGGTTATGTTGTATGCACATTGAAGTAGTAAGATCAAGAATGGTGTTTTGAAGATTCACTTTGAATAGAACCCCCCCTCCCATTCTATATCGTCCCCTTCCTCTAAATATTTCCGGGTCGTTATATAAACATTTTTTTGTGATTTGCCGCAGTGAGTGTAATGTCAAGACGACTTATTTTTCAGGATTTTTTTTTAATAGGAGAGTTTGATGGTCTCGTAGTCAACTAGAATTCCTTCCTAACAAACGGCCTTTTCAGGTCTGCTTATATTTAATGTAAGACCTTAGTGTACATCAATGCAAACATCACTCCGCGGATAGTAAGGGAACCTTGAACCAAGCAACCATTTGATTGCATCACCGTCAGTTATGTCGGATACTATTGGTATCATAGTCGAGCACATTTCTAACCCTTCGCCCCACGCGCCCCAACCACTACTTCCCCACACCAGGCAAGACAAACAAGTTTTCATGTTCCAGGAGCCACTGTGCCAATCTATTTTCAAACTTTTTTTTTTTTTTTCGGGCTTTGGTACAATCGTTAAAAGTAGTTATGAAACACTTTTATTTACTAACGATTGCATCATTCTACTCGTAACTTTTTCAATTTATCTGAAAAAGGAAACAAAGCTTCAAAAAATGCTTTGGTTTAAGAACAGTTTAGACTGACTCCCACGAATTCCAATTCCAATTCCATTTTCATTAGATCTTATTTGCTTGAAACCGTAAACAAAATAACAAAAATTCTCTCAGAAGAGAAAAATGGCTCAGAGGAAAACGGCTCGGAGGAGGGGGGTAAGAAACAAAGATTGAATTAGAAGCCAATCAAGTTACAGCTGCAACAGCTCTGACCAATCAGGATGAGATCGTCAGTATAAATTCAGGTCCTTGCAGCAACCTTTCAGTTCCTTTTTCTGAGGGTTCTGGTGATTTCCCATGGCTCGTACCAAGCAGACAGCGCGAAAGTCCACCGGCGGCAAGGCGCCGCGGAAGCAGCTGGCCACCAAGGCCGCCCGCAAGAGCGCCCCGGCCACCGGCGGCGTCAAGAAGCCTCACCGCTACCGGCCCGGCACCGTGGCGCTGCGCGAGATCCGCCGCTACCAGAAGTCCACCGAGCTGCTGATCCGCAAGCTGCCGTTCCAGCGCCTGGTGCGCGAGATCGCGCAGGACTTCAAGACCGACCTGCGCTTCCAGAGCTCGGCCGTCATGGCGCTGCAGGAGGCCTGCGAGGCCTACCTGGTGGGGCTGTTCGAGGACACCAACCTGTGCGCCATCCACGCCAAGCGCGTCACCATCATGCCCAAGGACATCCAGCTGGCCCGCCGCATCCGCGGGGAGAGGGCGTGATCTCAAGACTCCCTAGCCACCTTCCCAAAGGCTCTTTTCAGAGCCACCAAAGTTCTCAGTGATAGTGCTGCTCCACATTGAGTTAGGCTTGGTCTTTTCTTTTCCTCGTAGCTCACGTGAGAAGATCCTCGGTACCACAAGGTATTTTTCGTTACTCAAATCAGTGAACCTTGATCGGAAGGGCGTCAGGTTGCGGGAACTTGAAAGAGTTAATTTCACATTGGCTCTGGAGCCAGGCCGTGTAGTACAGTAGGCAACTGTGGGAAGTGGACTTGTTGTTTGGGGAGCTATTGGAGATTGAGCTGAGTCACATCCCCAGCCATCACTAAGTTGCTTAGGGTCTCGCTGAAATGCTGAGGCTAGCCCTGAACTAGGCTAGTCCTCGGCCGCAGCTTCAGGAGTCAATGGAATTACAGGCGTGCACTACCGCGCTCCGCTGAGGAGTCCTTTCAAAGGATGATTGCTTCCTCCACCAAGGTAGAGTTTGCCAATAGGTCATCTTGCGGGTTGTGAATGCTACATAGTTGGGTGGCGGACAACTATCCCTACAGGTTCCCAGGAGGTGAAATTGTTATGTTAAGGGATGGCACCTTTCAGGAAACAGGCACCCCAAAATGTCCTACCCATCCCACCCGGATTCATGAGATGAAGTGAGGAAGTTTTATGTCCGTACCTCAGTAACAGGCACGAGACTATTAGAATGGCAAAGGAGAAAAGAGAACACACAAAGAGTGGTCCTTATAGAGAGGAGAGGGATGGGGTGCCCTCCAGTTTTATTGGGAATTCCCAGAGGTTTCCACAAGTCCCCATCTTTACTTGGGATTGACAGCCTGGGAGCTGCATGGACCTTCTACAAGATAGGATGGTGTGATGTTCAGAATTGGAATTTTTAAGAAAATTGAGAACCCCTGTCAGTTTCCTGCCCCTTCAATCAGTTTATTACCTACCCTTTGGACAGCTACCATCAAGCTTTCTGTGTGAGGGTCCTGATGTTCTGGTTGCCAGGGTGATGGGGGTTTGTGACAGGTTTCTGTGATAAGGGAGGGTACAGGCTACCAGGGAGGCTGTGACTTTGTTGTAGGGACAAATGCACCAAAGATAGCAGGAAACAGTTTTATTTGGCTGCAGCCAGGTTCAGAGGGTATAGCCTTTGCTGTAATCAATCAATCCCCTGAACCCCAAGTTCAGGGAGTTTTAGGATTTTATACCCAGCGTGTAAGGGGAGGGGCTCAGAAGTTCACATAAAAGCAGCTTTTTCTTTCACTGTTGTAGGCAAGTTAACCCTTCAAGGACAACACCTGAGAAGGGGAGAGCTTCTTCTCCCCTCTTTCCTCCCTCTGCCAGCTGTTACCATGGAGCCCAATTGTCACTTATCTTAAAAATGTAGACATCTCTGTGAAGCCCAGCTCAAGGCCAGAGGACTTGTTTGCACATTTCTTCAAAAGTTTGTGAAAAACTAGTAAGGGGGTGTCCAGCACCTGGAGTGCTGGTATCTTCTCGGCCAGTGGCCTAGTAAACAGGGTGACATGAAAATAGGAAGTTTATCTACATTGGACTCTTGCAGAGACTCTTTTGTTGACAGTCCCCAAATCAGCCATGGTGAAGAGGGCTTTTCTGTGGAGAAACGGGGTGCCACTTCAACTTGATCTTGAAACTAGCTTTTTTTGTTTGTTCATTTGGTACTGGGGATTGAACCCAGGGGCACTTTAGCACTGAGCTACAGCCCTTTTTTAGTTTACAGTTTGAGACAGGGTGTCACTAAGTTGCTTAGGGCTCTGATAATTTGCTGAGGCTGGTCTTGGACTAGAAATCCTCCTGCCTCAGATGTGACTATGGGTGAGGGAGGTTTGACATACCAGGCCCCATCTTCCAGGTGCTTATCTGTCAGACAAGTCTCCCTGTGGTTTTCACTCCTCTCCTGCTCTTCCATTCAGGGCTGAACTAGCTACCTAACAGGTGGGTCTCATATTCTCTTACCCAGTACTATGATTGTTAAAGTGTCACTCCTGACCTAAAAGAACCAAACCTGAATTCAGCTGAGCCAGCTGAACCACTGTTACCAGAAAGAAGGACATGGTCGTGTTCAAATGAGCATTCTGGTTCCCATGAGAACTGACGTTTTGTCTGGCAGTGACTCACCTGATAACCTCATAGGATAAAGCTCTGAAATGTACATTCCCATGCTAAGATTGTGATGTTGTAAAGTTAGCACCTTAGCCTTTGGTCTTATTTGCAGGAGCCTAGTAGTGCAGCCATGGGCCTGAGGGGCAATTCAGGGGCATTAGGCCATCTTAACTGTAGGCCAATCACCTGATGCTACACTAGTGATTTACCAGGCAGAAGCCAGAGTGGATACCACCTGGTACAGACCTGTCTCACCTGGGGCAACTGAAAGCTTCTAAAGACTTGGACCCTTGCATGACTGATGTGCATGAAGTCCTAACCCAGGAGACAAGGTGCTGCCTAACATCTGTGAAGCTAAGTGGTAACAGTTACATTTTGCTATTTTTTTTTTCCCCTGTAGAAGATGCAAGTCATAGACCAAAGATTTGTTGTTTTTGCTCGCTGCTTTATTTCTAGGATGGATTGCTAATTTGCTATCACTCAGGCACAGATTGCTCCAACTCAGCCCTCCAAAGGCTTTAGGAAAACAGAAGATTCCATTTTGGAAAAGACATCAATAGCCAGGGCAGAAGGCCTGATTTCCTTCAATGGAAAAGACAGACACACAGGTCTTCCTGCTCTATTTCAAGGACACTGGCTGGGATTTTAGAGTCTTCTGAGGTCTGCTGTTTCAAATGGAACGCACACTTAAGTGTGAACTTAGAAATTATGGTTTCGTTTGATGCTCCTTCCTTCAAAAACTGGAGCCTAATTCTAGTCCCCTGCATGTACCCTGAATTTAGAGATGAGCTTCTAAGGAAAAAAAAGTCCCGCCGCTTAAAGACGAGGTCATGACAAGCACTGTACTTCCTACTGGCTAAATCTAGATGCTCTGGACCCCAGGGGCCATGTGGAAGAACCCTCCAGCAACCCCTTGGAGAGGCCTGCCTAGTAAGAAAGTGAGGCCTTCAACAGTCAGCCAAGAACTATAGCCAGGAAGTGAGCCAGTTCTGGCCCCTGTCAAGCCTCAGATGACTATAGCCCCTGCAACAAGTGGACTCTGCACTTCCTGAAATACCCCAAGCTAGACCCCACACAGCTAAACCACTGTGTACCTCATCTTCAGAAGGTGAGAGAGAGTAAACTTGCTTTTTTAAGCTGCTACATTTTTTAGTAATTTGTTTCACAGTGAGTAACTGATGAGACAGGAGAGTCAGGAGTCATCCTAAAGAATCAAGTAGCCCAGGTGGGAGGAGTGCCCACAGCTTGGTCCCTGGCTACAGGGAAGTCTGGTCCACCGGACCTCTCCTTTCCTTCCCAGGAATCTGCAGGATTTATTTGTGTTGCTATCCAGAGGCTGAAAACTAGCCTAGTACACTAAGAATTCAGAAGGAGGAGGAAAGCTGTGGCCTCTCAGGCAGAGCAGCTGTGCAGGTAAGCACCTCTGGCCAGCAGCTTTGAAGGAGAAAGAAATCTTTAAGTTTTTCAGTTCACTTAGAAATGAGTAAGACTCCAAGAAATCAATGTCCCTGTGAACAAATATTGACTTATTAAACCAGTATTCTATTTTGTTTTAATTTGCCATTTCCAAGGAAACTGGCTAAGAATTAACTCAGTTAAGAGACTGCATGTGCAGGAAGCCTCTCTGACCTTGCCCTGTTAGTGCTAACAATTGTTTCATGCCCTTCTCTTTTAAGCTTTCCCACATTTACTATCACATCTGACTATTAAAGGAACATTGTGAGGTAGGCACACAGTTAGGGTGTAGCTCATTCATGCAGGGAAGGGGTGGTGGGGGGGGGGGGCTTGGCACAGAAAATGTTCTTGGTGCAGGTGGCCCAGGCATTATGGCTGCACCCTCCAGTTTTTGAAAAATTTCTGTGTGTCAGAGGTACCATCTCTAGTGGTCCTACTACTTGTTAAATAAGCCTTTACAAATCATTATTCTCCTTTTTCTACATCCCACACAAATTTATACCAATGCAGGGGAGGAGAAATATCTTCCTTCTGTTTAAATTCATAGGCCAGAGCTTCTGTAACAAAAGATTAATGAGAGAAAAGCATGCAAATGTATTAAGTGTAAATTTTGTATGAACAGTCTTGTTAAGGCAATGAGTACTACCAAAAAAATATAAGTCCTCATGCCAATCCAATAATGAGGACACAATTGTAAGGAAAAGAAAAAAAGAAGTCTTATTGCTTTGCTAGCAAAGGAGAAATACAGGGGACTTCTACCCCAGAGGCTGTGATTCTGCCTGTCATGGGAAACAGGACTTTTAAAGAGGGGATTCAAAGGCTACATTCTAAGCTGTTCTTTGTCATGGGTCATAATTCACATGTAGCATTTCTTAGACCTGGGGCCATCCCTGAAGTCTAAATTACTTCATTCCTGTGGTACATAAGCTCAAGGACAGGTAACCTGGCCTAGGATGGGAAGAAAAGTGATCTTGATTCCCCAAGGTTAGGGAGGGGAAGAGGGAAAAGAGGTGAGGGAAGGGGATATCAGTTTTAAAATAAGCCTCAGTGGCAGAACAGTGAAGCATGAAATGAACCTGTTGCACTTGGACCCAAAGCAGTTAAACTGGAAGGTGGCGTGCTGGGGGTGGGGGGGGGGGGTAGTTACCAAGGCCAGCTCACCAGAGGGAGTCCTGTGGCTCTCTGTCATTGAACATAAGGGCATTCCTTTCCTCTGGACTTAAGACTTCAAGGGAAGGTCAGAAATCCTTCTTGCATGTGCTATTTCTCAAGTTCCTGCAACTTTAAATACCCCAAATCCTGGGATAGCATGCTCTGAACCCATCACTCACAGTTGATTTCATTATTTGAATGCCATTTTCCTGAACTACCTGTCAGAGGTACCATCTCTAGTGGTCCTACTACTTGTTAAATAAGCCATTGCAAATCATTATTCTCCTTTTTTCTACAAAACAGGTCTTTCCCTTTCTTTAAGAGATGTTTTAGAGGTTAAATGAGGTGATATGAGACAGTGCCTTGATCAATGCCCCAGAGAACAAGTTAGTTTCCTCTCTAGATTTTGGTTAGGAGAGCTGGAGAAACAAACCGAAGTCCTCTGATGAGACTAAACTGGGGTTTAACTCTTGTCACTGGTTAAAACTTAGGAAGCTATCCAATTCAATGACTAACACATAAACAAGTCAATTTTATGGCTAATCTAATAGGCAAATAGCTAATCTTATTTCTTTGGCAATCTGTTAGCTTTTGTTTTCCACAAGGCAGACTCCCCCGCACTTCTCTTCAAATTCTGGACACTACATGGAATACATGAAGCATCAATCTAGGAGGCAGAAAAGATGTTGGAAACATTAGTTGAAAACTAACACTCACAGGGCTGCTGATGCTCCCCAGAAGTGCCGAGGTCCTGAAAGGCCTTCAACAGGAGAGCAAGCAGAGTTCCAACCATGCACTCTAATCCAAGCTCAGGGAGGTTTCCACTTCATAACGGGAGCTGCTGCCAGAAGCACTCCCCACTGGCCTGGCTCTTATAAGGATTTGGGCCATGGAAACATACAAGGGAGCATTCCTCTGGTGAGCAAAGTCCCGGAGGGTAAGGGGCACCCGGTTATCCACACTTGGAATATTCTACAGTTTCTCCCTGAAACTAGTAAGATAACTCATACATGTCAGTGCCTAGCTGCTGTCCTTCATGAGGAGGCTCTGTGCTAGGGTCTTATCAGCCTCCATCTTACTGTCAGACACTCAGCTTCTGGGCATGAAGGAACTTAGAAAGTTCCTTTATAAATGAAGCTGGCCGCTCAGATGAGTAGTGCCCTTTTTACTTCGCCCCTGCATCTTGCTTGCTTCTGTCTCTTTCTGTTTCTTTATAGGCTCTCATCAGGAAAGAGGGTTTAAGATGTAAAAAACTGAATTTATTTAGGTATCCCTGCTGATAATAATAATAAAAAAACTTGAATACATTTAAAATGCTGTTCTTTCTGAAATGGAAAATGAGAGAAGCTGTATTAAAATTTTCATTTACATAAGTAGCCCGAAAGAGGGGTTACACGCACTAGTTCTATATAAGAAAATATGCTTTGAGTGTTTTAATTTAAACTGAAGAAAAATCTTCAGATTTTTAATGGAGAAGAAATTTTTCGACTTCACTTGTATTCAGAGACATTCAAATGAAAACAGCAAAGAAGAACTGTATAACACCCATCAGACTGGCAAAATAAGAAAGCTAGTGTCTGAGTCCCCTAGCACTGTGACAGCAAAAGGTTCTAGAGCCACCTGTTTGTTGGCTTACAAACAAGATACTGCCCTCTGTTCTAGGCTAAGCAGTCCAGTATGATCCATTTCCTTGTTCACTGAACAGTGAACCTCAAGCTGTGTCCTAAGACTGCAGAAGGGGCAGGCAGAGCTCTGGGACCTCCACTATTAAAGCCCTGATCCCATTGTAAAATCCTTGAACTTGTGACCTGATCTCCTCCTGAGGCCCTGGCTCTCAGCACCATCACTTGGGGGATTGGGCTTCAACATATGAATTTTGGCACGACAGGAACATTCCATCCAAAGCACCAAATGTAACTGTGCCTTGGTAGGAAGTGGAGAGACCCATGTGCTGAGGTGGCCCTTTGCCATGACTTTGTACAAGATGGATTGGAGAACCACCTAGCCGTCTCTCCCATGCCAGGCCCGTGCCCCAAGGAAGCCTACAGATCCATGAAGTCATATTCATGATAATAGGAAGGCAGGGAGAATTTAAGGGGATAAGTAAAATAAGAGTGTAGGAATACCAAAAAATGCCTTCTTTTGTCTAAGGTAAGATTAGAAGTAAATGGCGAAAGCCAAAGCTGAACTCAAGACTAAGTCCCCCTTCCTACAGGCACCAGTTCACACCTGGGAACACCAGTGCTGGGAACTGAATGGGATGGCCTAGCTCTAGTCCCAAGTAGGCTGATGACCACAGAAGGAGTCCGACCTGTGTGGCTTTTAGAGAAAGCCACATGGGAGTGCCTGTGAAAACTCCTGCCCCTAGCCTGAGGCCAGAAAGGAGAGTCAGCATGGTAGTAGAGGGCTACATCATCTTTACCTTGGATTCTGTTCTCGCGACATCCAGGTTGGGAGATGTTAGCAAGAGGTGAGGAAGAGAGTAAGAGCTAAATATTGGCCTGAAATGCATGAAAACCAGCAAAACTGAGGGAAGTCTAGAGGGGAGCCTAATGATCTGCTGGGAGCCATTAGCCAAGTAGGTATGACAATTTCCTTGCCAGCGTACCCCATGTTGCTTAGTGGAAGGACTCGTGGAAATAGGACATTTTGCAGTGACATTGCATGTAGGTGACCTTGCTCAAGGACCAGGGCGGATCCGGGTTTAGGGTGTTCCCGGTTTAGTTTCCAGGTTTAAGGTTTAAGGTTATTCCTGCTGGGAATAGGGCGTATCCTGCTGCCTGAGTTCCCCTTGAGTTCTCACGGGATTCAGACAGTATTTTTTTGGGAGACAGAAGCCCAGTGGGGGTGGATTTGGGCAGAGAACGTGGATTTCCCCAGCACGTGATTGTAGACGGCTGGTGTGAGTTCGGGAATAAAGAGTTGCTGTTTGAATCTACAAGCTGTGTGGTGGCTCGTGATTGTGTGCCCAGCCAGACTGCGGCAATGATCACCATTGGCTACGTGCATAAGGACACCATAATGTGTCACCCAAAATATGCCTCTTTGGCATAAGGATTATTTTAAGCAGATGGTCTTGAGAAACTATAGACATGGGACAAGTTCTGAGACCAAAGGGTTCTTTTGTAAGGGGAATTTACATCTAAGCTGGAAGTCTCCATTTGTAATGCTCTCTCCCTCTCCATGCCAGGAAAGAAAGGAGGGCTGCCTCAAGATGGATTCTCAGTGACCATTTGCAGGCCAATCCTTTTCTTGTTGCCATGCTTCTCCAAGTCCCCATAACTGGCCTCCCATTCCTGCTCCTGTTCCAGCTGAAGATAGTTTCTATGCCACTTCTATGAGGTGCTCAAATTCCTTCATATCTTTTGTTTATATATGAAATATACATCCCAATAAATATTTGTATGTTTTGTTTTTCTTCTGCTTACCTGTCTTTTGCTATAGGGTGTTCTACTTTTAAGAACTCAGAAAAAAGTAGAGGAAAAATTATTTTTTCTTCCCTGAACATACACGGCACCAGAACACTGCAAAAACAGCCAGGGCAGAGAGCGCACTAGGTCAACAAGAAGAAAGCATCAGGTACTGAAAGGCTCTCAGTACTGGAAGGCATATTTGGCTCTTTCTGTTTTTTTTTTTTTTTTTTTTATAGGATCTCCTAAATTGCTGAGTTGGGCTCAAACTCACAATCCTCTTGCCTCAACTCCTGAGTCATTTGGATTACTGCGGGACCATACTTGGGTCTTGAGAGAATTCCAGGAGCAAGTAAGGAGTTTCTCTGATAAAGTGACTTTACAATCAGATTCCAGAGGCTATAGAATTGTGGGCCTTAGGAGAGATGGTGGGATAAGGGCAAGAGAAGAGAAATCTGGATGGGCAGTGTTTTAGTCAGCTTTTTCACGGCTGTGACTAAAAGTCCTAACCAGAGCAATTTAGGAGAAGAAAGTTTATTTGAGGGCTCATGGATCAGAGGTCTCAGTCAATAGACAGCTCAACCCATTCCTCGAGGCTTGAGTAAGGCAAAACATAATGACAGAAAAGTGTGGCGGAGAGAAGAAGCTCACATGATGATCAGAAAGAAGAGAGAGAGTCCATTAACCAGATACAAAATACATACCCCAAAGGCAGGCTCCCAATGACCTACCTCCTCCAACCACCCTACCCTCCTTCAGTTACCACTCAGTTATTCTCCTCAGAGGATTAACTCCCAGATTAGATTAAGGCTCTCATAACCAAATTGTTTCTCTTCTAAACCTTCTTGCATTGTCTCACATATGAGTTTTGGGGGGATACCTCACATCCAAACCATAATAGGATGGATTCTGCATCTGCAACATTCTTTAAGTGGTCTTAGAGGAGCTTAGAAAACAATAGCACAAAATATGCCACTTATTTTTCCCCTCAAACCAAGAGCATCCGTGGAACAGCAAATGCAGGGAGAGGCTTTCTCTGAACAGAGTTCCCATCTATCTAAAGGCCTGATCGTTGAGAAGATATTCCATGTTGTGACTCCCTTCCACAGATATCTCATCATTAGCAGGAGACTGGCGCACCTGGAAGAAAGACCAGAGCTGACAACACAACTACAGCCCAGATACACTTTTTCTCAGGACATTCCCTGTCCATTCATCTTCCCTAAAATCCATGCACTCTTCTACAATCACCTGCATCCCTAGCTTCCCTCTCTCCTGAGAGGAGAGTTCATAAGGTGCTTGACTCTGTTAGGAGGTGCACATGATAGATTTGCATGCCTTTTCTCTGCTAACCTGTCTACTGCCAGTTTACTTCTCAGACTTGAATTCCAAGCCTTCAGAGGGAAACAGGGCTCTTCTGCTCCTACAGTCTTAATGACACATGGAGACAATGCAAACTGAAGGATCTTTAAGGAGGGTAGGGATGGTGTTTCTGCTCAGCTGTGACCAAGGAAGATGGGAAGTTCCATGTGTCTAGGTGTCGTGATCATGTTTTATTTGGGGTAAAATGCATGGAGGAAATATTTGAGAGAGTAAGTACATGGGAAGAAAAAGATTGAACAACTAATGGTCTTTGCATTAGTGCATATGTCCAGGTGTTCACATGTGTGTTTGGGGATAGGAAAATGAGAATTAGGAGAGGCATTGATGAACTATTTTTTGAAAGAAGAGAAAGAAAAGAATATACAAAACACAACCTATTAGAGAAACAAAAAATTATATGCAAAACACAATCCACTAGTCAATTCCAAAGCTTTAAGCAAAATAAGCAGGACAAAATCAAGTGTCAAGGAGATAAGTAAGGTAATATATCAAACTGAAAATTTAGTCACATTAAAAGAGATCGAACCCAAAACCTTGAATTAAGAACATTAAGAGATTGTTAATAAGACAAGTACAGATCAATAAGCAAAACATAGAGCCTTGTTTATTCATTTGATCAGAAAGAAAGGGAATTGTATGAAAACTGAAATGGTCAACATTTCTCTTGAGAATGTTATGCTCGAATTCAGGACCCCCAAAAGACCACCAGAGACCAAGATTGATGTAGGCAGCAAAGAGGTGTTTATTGAGAGCTAGCTCAGTCCTCCGCACACACACAGCAACTGGGGAAGGCAGGGACTTCACATACATCTTAGCATCTCTTAGCAAATCATCACACACCAACAACTCTAAAACATGATTAGCACATTCACTGGGGGGAACTAGTTGGGTAGGGGTGATTGGTTTGTACAAGAGGGGGATTCATTTGAACTGATTGGTTTAAGCCAAGAGGGGTGTTCATGCTGAACTACATGGTTTCCCAACACCATAAACTACTGGGAGGGTCATCTGGCATCCCAGGTATTTCCCTGTCTCATGCTGATTGGTGGCTGCCAGGGGGTTGCTATGGGTCTCCACCTAGCCTGACTGAGTCAGGGACACCTGGGGCAGCAGATCTCTCCTGTTATTTGTAGATAAACAACTTAGCAGGGTGGGAATGTGCCTAGGAGTGCTCTGTGGGTCTTTCCAAGGACAAAGGTCATGTCCCTTCCTTGGATAGGCTTTGCTCTGAGGTAGAGGCTGGTTTTTCAAGAACATTCATCTCCCCTAATGTAAGGAAAATACACAATGATTTATCACAATCAATAAGAATTTATTGGGCAACTCATGCTAACTAGCATTACTATTTCCTGGGGTGTGGGGGGGTACAATTTGCACCTACTTGATTTAAATGAAACTAGATTCTCCAACTCTTTAAGAAATCTCAAGAATCAATTAATTTTCTCCACATAGGTACAAGAAGAGAATTTTAAAACTCTGATTTGACAAAGAAAATTTACAAGCATTCACATCCCTAAAAAACACACATGTCCATGGTGTAGGAGTGACCCCTTTTCTTACCATTTTGCTGGTCCTGGCTGGCACTTGAAAAAAGACAGGCTAGGGGAAGAAGACCACAGCAGACAGACCTCATCATTTTTCCAGACAGGGAGCCTTCAGAAATGAAAGCCCAATAACTCAGCGCAGACTGCTGACGTTTATGCTTAGACTTGGTGAGGAATGGGCAGCTGTGGACAAAAGGTTGCAAACGTGGTGTTCAAGGACTGCAGGGGAGCCCAGCAAGGCCCATCTGTCCGGATTCTTCCTGGTCTCTCTGTGGCATGCTTTACTCCCGGATATGGGGCAGGACCCCTCCAGAATGGGGTATCAAGGGAGATAGGAGAGAATGACCTCTCCAAGGGTTAGGGCCTGCCTCCTTGGGAAGAGAGAATTTCTAGTTTCTACTACCCCCTCCCCCCAGCAATTCTGGCTTCTATCACTAGCTTTGGAAAGGAAAGAAGGGCAGGGAAAGGCTTGTGTCTGAGGTCTTTCAACTTGAAGTACTAGTGCACAAAGTGCCAAATTCTGGAACATTGCTTTCTGAGCCCCCAACCAACAATGAAATATTCTCAAGGCCAGCCATTGTTAAGCCAATCAAACCAGAGCCCTTCCTGAGTTATATTTGCAGGGGACCATAATAATATTCAACTGCAAACTAAGCTACTTGGGTGTAAGGATTATGCTGAGCACATTACTTTAAGAAACAGCAAACACAAGAAAAGTGCAAAAACGGAGTAAAAGTTTACTCTTAAAAAAAGAAAAAAAAAAAATCCTTACATTAAGGAAATTTTCAGGGGTAAAAGTATCTTCCTCTACCATACCAGAAGAGGAAAACAACTCACAGAAGGACATTCTCATCCCTGAGATAATTAGAATCTGCAGACTTCACTACATAACCTTCATCTTCATAACACTTATCTTCCAGTAGTTTGCCCTGCAGGTTTACCTCACCCCTTTAAGATGGCCTATAAGTCCCCCTGGGGTCTATTTGCTTCTTTGGGCTTTCATTCCTTTTTTGTAAAATCTCCCATATTTATATATAACAAACCCCATGTTAATATGCCAATTTAATTTGTAAGGCCCAGCTACTAACCCTGAGCTGGAGGAAAAGTATCTGCTCCTGGCACTTCCTATAAAAAGTAGCACTCCTAAGGGTTCTCACTGTTTCAAGATTTCCTCATATAAAGTTTCACTTTAAAAAGAATAACTGCCATTTAATGACGAATAATGCCCGTGGATTTTCGAGTTGCAAGGGAAACAGATTATGGTGATTATGCCAGTAGAAGAAGCAGGGCTAACACCTTCAATATTAAACATGGGGATTCCATATTAGCCAGAAGACGGGAGAGACGAGTTCAATGAGAAACAGATTATATAACAGGAGCATGTAATTAATGCTTTGCATGTACAATAATCAGTTCACAGTGCAGTTGGAGAGACTAACTTCTAAAATATCTTAGACATTTGTTAAAGGAGTAAATAACCAACCAAACATGCCTGAAACAAAAAATAAACATTCCCAAGGTTGGGAAAAGGAAAGTTAAGAACTCAAGACTTGCATCAAGTAAAGGCAGCTGACTCCTAGAAGCCAGAGGAGGGTCAGAGGAAGTCAATCCAAACTACTGGCGAAGTGGAAACAGCCCAGCACTCTGCCTTTGAAACACTCTTTTCCCTGGAAATAAAGCATCCCTGGTTGCCGTATCGGGCATTATGTAAAATTGAGAGGTGTGGGCTTCCAGTTAATTTTCTTCAATAGAGGAGATGCTGGAAGGGCCCAAGCTACATCACATTTGCCTCACTCTCCAAAAAAAAAGAAAATGAAACGCCCTTCTTCAAGCAGCTTCCGCAAGCTTTTCCCAAGCAGAATAAAGACAATATTAGTCACTTATCCCCAGAAATACGGCGGCGGATGAAGGAAAGAAAAAGTGAATCATGAGAAGGGCAGACAACCACACTTTAGAACAGAGAGGAAGCTACACCTGAGCAGAAGATGGTCACTCCTCCGGCGGACTATGCCCAGATCCTAAGAAAGCACAATGCATACCAGCTAACTTCCCAAATACCC